TGTCAGATTATCTTGTTGTAATGACTAACTCATGTAGACGTTGCAACACACTACACACTCAATGTTTTGTAGGCGTAGTTGTCTGGTGAGCGTGATCTCTTAACCTAGACAAGCCTGGACTCATCTGTGGTATTTGTTAGGAGGCCGTGAAGTATCTGCTGTGATCTCAAGGATATTTTCACTTTATATTATAGCATCAAGCACAATTACACAAACGAACATGAAAATAGACATGCGCGCACATACACACATTCAAAAAATGACTGGAATACTTATTTAAAAACAATTATTGAGTGTTTTGCAACAGTTTAATAGTTTTATCCAGTTCAATTTGTAGAAGTTGATCCCAATACTTGAATTGGATATCGGTTCACAACCACATACTTTTGCTGGATCGGGTATCTGCTGGCTGGTACCGATCCAAATCTGATCTTGCGCATGCACTATTCATTCATTCATTTTCTTGTCGGCTTAGTCCCTTTATTAATCCAGGGTCGCCACTGTGGAATGAACCGCCAATTTATCCAGCAAGTTTTTACGCAGCGGATGCCCTTCCAGCCACAACCCATCTCTGGGAAACATCCACACGCATTCACACACACACTCATACACTACGGATAATTTAGCCTACCCAATTCACCTGTACCACATGTCTTAGGACTGTGGGGGAAACCGGAGCACCCGGAGGAAACCCATGCGAACGCAGGGAGAACATGCAAACTCCACACAGAAACGAGGATCGAACCAGCGACCCAGCGAATTTGAGCAGCTGCAGGATCAATTTGGTCTGCGTGCAAACAATTTCTTCAGATATTTGCAGGTTAGGGATTATGTTAAACATATTTACCCTGTTTAAACGGAGTCAACCAGGCTGGACTGGATGATCTATTAGGGCTTGGAGGCGAGGTCTGCCATGCGATTTCAGTCATTTATAACCAGAGGTGTAAAGTAACTAATTACAAATACTCAAATTACAGTAATCGAGTAGTTTTTCTCAGGACTTGTAAATATTAAGTAGTTTTAAAAATATTCTTTTTTTAAAAATTTCTTTTTTGTAAAAAAAAAAAAAGAAAAGTTAAGATGTTGTAATATTTGCTGTAATGCTGTGCAATACAATGCAATGAATATCTCAATTTTTTTTTTAAACATAACAAGTACACACACATACAATAAAAAATGATGGGTCAAACATAGAAATAACCCACTTTTTAACCCAAGAAAAAAAAAAAATATATATATATATATAGTTTTAAACTAATTGACAGATATGTTTACTCTTAATTAGCCGCATTTTTAAATTGATGCATTTATGAATATTTTCCTGTTTTTAAAACAATAAAATTATTCTGGCAACCTAAAAAGTTTTGACCTAATCAGCAATTTAGAATTTATAAGTTACAACAATGTTTGCGGTGGTAACAGGCCTCTTAATTTATTTTTTAAGAGTGTAGAGAGGGTTATTACCTGCTCTTCACACGCAAAGTAGGCCTACCTGAAACTAAATGAACGTCTATTTAACCGAGTGTATCGTAATTACAAGCTTTCACCGGAAGTTTATCGTTGGCTTTAAAACTCCAGCTGTGCACAGAGCCCGTTGCACCTTTTGGAAACGCAATCGCAGAATGTGGGGACGAGAGAGAAGGGGGAAATACCGTAAGCACGCAAAACATACACAAGCTTGTTCCCAATTAGGAAAGCTTTGGATTCCGGTTTCAGCTTAGTGCAATGCAAATCTAAACGCATTTCCATTTCTGATTCACGCTCATTATCTTTTGTTTCGTATTCTGCGTTTAGTTTTCGCATTACAATTGTACATGCAATGTCAATTTTGTTTTATTTATGCTTATTATTGTATGACCCGCGATACATTTGGCGGGATTTTAACCCATAGCAGGCCATCATATAGCTTTTGTTCATCAGTAAATTGAAGTAAACCGTCAATGTTAAGTGATTATTTATTTTACTAACTTATATAGACCATTTTAGGGACGCAAACAAAACAATGATCCCAATGTATTTCCTGTTTTACATGTTTTAATTTATACAGAGAATCCAAAAAGAGTCTCATGTTTATAAATAATGTTATGACAGCTGATTTAACGTTAAGTTATGCTTGAATTGCCTCTTTTTACAGATATGAAATAGTTTGATAACAAGCAGGAAATGTTTATGGGGCAATGACATGACCACATTACGTTAACTCAGGCCCAATGAATGATTCTGACATCTCTGAAATCGACAAGCTAACCACATCAACAATTCAAAGTTTCACTAATGATATGGGATCGTCCAAGGACACGCTAAGCGGAAACATCAAAAACATTGTAGCATACATGCTAAAGTAAACACAACTGCTCCAAAATACGATACAAACAGAACCATTTTCAGAATTCTGCTTTCATAAAGCAGCAAATACACCTGTTCGATGAAGAAGTCAATATTTAGACTTACTTATAATGTTTTGCTCTGTCAGCGAGTGTACAGCCGTTGTTCTGAGTGAACAATTCAATGACTCGTATTCTCAAATGACTCGACTGAACGATTCAAATGACTCTTGTCTTTCGTTCACATGTCGCCACCTACTTGCGTGAATACACAATTACTAATAGGTACAACAAATAGGAAGACATACAGGATGTATTCGATATTCTATATTATTTTGTAACATTTAAGCATTCTAAAAAAATTATATATATATATATATATATATATATATATATATATATATATATATATATATATATATATATATATATATATATATATATATATATATATATATATATATATATATATATATATATATATATGTGAGTATATATATATATATATAAATATATATATATATATATATATGTATATATATATATATATATATATATATATATATATATATATATATATATATATATATATATATATATATATATATATATATATATATATATATATATATATATATATATATATATATATATATATATATATATATATATATATATATATATATATATGTATATATGTATATATATATATATATATATATATATATATATATATATATATATATATATATATATATATATATATATATATATATATATATATATATATATATATTTCTATTATATATTTATATTTCTGTAAAGCACCAAGTAACTTTAGCTTCTTTTGTCATGCTGCTTAGCGCGCTGTGCCTAGGCTGCATCTCTGAACAATAAGTTTGGCCAGAGGAGAAATGGTCATGCTCAGCTGAGCCTGGTTTCTCTTGAGGATTTTTTTCTGTCACTTTGGTCAATTGGTGAAGTTTGTTTCTCGCCGCTGTCGCCACTGACTTGTATGCTTTTGGCATTTGTGGAGCTGTGCATTGATGGATTTGCTCTTCAGTGTTTGGGATTATAGCAGTGACATTTAAATTACACTTAACTGAACTAAACTGAATTCTGAAAACTAAACTGCCACTGTTTCAATTTACTAGAACTTTCATGTTAAGCTGCTTTGACACAAT